GAGAGGTCAAGGTTGTAGCTGCTACAGTCCCGAAAGGTCAACGTCGTAGCTGCTACCGTGTTCGAAAGGCCAAGTCCACAGACTTCCGGAAGGTCCGGAAGTGGCCTTTCAAAGTGTCTCACGTTTAGGCGAAGGCAAGTGGGCAGTGGTGGAGTCCAACCTCGATGAGTCAGCGGTACCCAGTCCCAGTCTTACTTCGTACAGTCAGCAAGTACCATGAGGGACTGTGTGCACCAAGGGGCCGGTGGAAAAAGGCTTAGACCAACGACTTTCAGAAGTATAAATCAAGAGGCAACGCCCAGTCATTCGTTCATTCGCTGTGTAAGCCATGCGGAAGCGCTGCTACAGCGTCTTGTGTGAGGTGGTCTGCAGAGCGCCCGAAGTCGAAGTGGGCTGAGGCATGATAGCGTAGCCATAGTCAGTGTTAGTTGAGAGGCCATAGCCGCTGTGGTGTTAGAAGTTAGTGAGTGTGTATGAGTGAGCGATAGAGTGAGTGTGTGTGGGGGTATTCAGGGTGATCCAGAGTGGAGTATGTGCAAACGGTGGTGTCGGACACGGTGACGTGAGTAGTGAGTGCAGGCGCTGAAGCGCCATAGCTTGCTGAAGTGATTTTTTCATTTGAACTGTGTTTTCGTTTCCATATCTCTGAGCTTTGAGCGGGTGCACTGCGCCAGTGTGAATCGCCATCTGTTTGTATGTGTGCGAAGTGGACACGACAAGCAAGTCTGATTACACTATGACTGCACTGCATTAAATCCCTTGACCTCAACATCTGATGGCTTAATGACGAAAGCAGGGGCAGGTAGTTGGTGGCATGTGGTTCAAGGTGCTGGGAGAGCAATAAATCGAATTTGATCGATGCATTCTTTTATATCAGGGACATGTTTCAACTTTCCAGGGCTGTGTCCCATTACATATGTGGCTTTTTGTTTTTGTTTTTCGCTGCCGCTGCCAGCCATTTTGTCCCGGTTGCCCCGACCCTCCGAAGTTTTTGGGTTGATCAATTGTGATTCTATAGTTGGCTTGGGCCATGTACTGGAGGTTTAATGCTTTGGTCGTCATGCTCAAATATGTGGAAGTGTGTTTATGTGTTTTTCTTTTTCCCAGGGGCAGGGGAGGATGTGCAATGGGGAAGAGGGAGGGCAATTGGATGCATGCATAGATCTTGAATGCAGTTTCACATATTTTTGGTGCATGTTCATGTCACAAGTTTGAACCTCACTGTGGTTGCATGTTTCAAACTTTGTCCTTGTGTGTGGATGCATGTGAAAGCAGATCCTCCAAAATAAAGCTGATGGTAGGGAGAAGGGTTCTCTTCTGTGGCTCATGGACCAAACTCATACAGCGTTTGGTGCGCGCTTGATGTGGCATTGGGTGCGTTTCATATCCCGTATAGTTCCGGTTGTAACGGAGTGGTTGGGATCACAGGTTAAACCACCAGTACCTTTCCCAGCCATTTTCTTGGAGTCACGGTGTTCATGCAGCCGTGATTCTCTAGAAGTACCGGGGTGCCATTTCGTTGGATATCCAGGCAAAACGGGTCGCATGCGAGGTGACCCATTTTGCCTGGATGGGTATCCAGTAAAACGGCACTCCGGTACTTCCCGAGAGTTGCGGCTGCATGCACATCGCGACCCTGAAAAAATGCGTGGGAAACGTACTGGTGGTTTAAGTACTCCATTACCTTTAGAGAATGCCTGCTATCATTCCTCGCTTGTCTTCGGCCATATAGACTGTTTGGAATTGTCCCAAACAGTCTATGACCACAATGTTCTGGTGCACTGTACTCTTGCCAGGAATGCCAGCCGATTGGCACTAATGTTTGTCTTATGCAAATCAGGTGTGCAAACGGAGACGACATATACACATTAGGGCGGGATCAAATGGTTTGCGTTTTGCTCAGGGTAGCAAGGCAGCCTGTTCTGTTTTTGTTTTCCCTTGTTTCATCCACTTTTCTGATGCTAGTGCCCCAATCAACTATGATTCGATCTCAATGAAAGCGTGACCGTGTGGTGGATGTTGAAAGTGTCTGAATTACTGCAATTCCTACAATGAGTTCAAAAATAACCATGGGAATCATGGTCAATAACGATGGCACATGGCCAGAGATGAGACAAAATCTAATTGCGAGGACAATATGACGTCTGTCCCCATGTGAAAAGGCTCAGGCATCTCTAATTGGGAGAGCACTAATCATCAATATGGCTATCTTCTCCACGCTGTGGTACATGGCCTCCATATGGTCCACTCCAGACGACGACCTAAAGAGTCTCAAAGCCAGAGTCAGATGCTATCTCTGGACAGGGGACCCAAACAGAAACATCGGCATCAACAAAGTAGCCTGGCACCACATCACGAGAAAAACAACAGAAGGAGACCTGGGAGTAATAGACCCTAAACAGGAGGCAATCGCACTCTAGATGAAATGGATAATTAAAATTCTAACTAGGCAGTCCCTGTCATGGCCCAAAATGGCCCTGGACAGCAAGGAACCTGGCACCTGTCAAGTCCCCTCCTAACATGAGTGGCCTGTTCTGTATAATGGCCAGAGAGTGGTCAATCGGGACAGGAAGGTCCTGAAGGAGTAAACCCACCTCCATCGTTGGAACAGTCCAACCCCACCCCAACCCCTTACTGGAAGCCAACCCTGAAGGCTTCGCGCCGCTCCCAACAGCAAGGAAGAAGTGCTTAGACAGCCACTATTCTGCAACCTCTGGATTACTGACACAAAGGGCAACCCCTGGACTGTGCACCCTAAAGACCGGAGGTGGTTGTCCTGGCTACAAAAAGGTGTCTGGCAGGTTGGACTCTTATGGTCAGAGGAATGAAAGGACTAGGTGGCAGAACAAGATATGTGAATCCCCCTGAAGGGATCCCACTCCCTTCAACCTCTCTATGTTACGACAGAGCATCCCAGAGCTATGGATAGCCTGCTAAAAGAAGAGTTCACATGGAAGCCCGGGGACTGGGGCCTCATCATCTCTGAGACCTGGCCAAAGAGAGCGTACCGGTTCATTAGTTGTCCCACAGGATCAAGCTACCTGGCGAAGTTCGTCTCGTCCCTGATCAACTGCCAGAACCTGCAGGAACCAATAATCCTAAACACGGAACCCCAGTATGAGACCTTAGAAACTTTCGCACTCAGGAAGCTCAGGGTTTCTCAGTCTAAGCCATGGACGATCTTCCGACCTGACCTCAGCATCAAGCACTGGGAATTCCATCCCAAGGAATGGATCTGGAGACTAGACAAAACGAGCAAAACAAGAACAATATCTGAATACGATGTTAAATTTGGGTACATCTCTGATTGCAGACAGTTGACCCTAATCCCAGACTACTGGAGAGATGGAAGAAGGTACTGGAGCTCAACCCCTCGGCGTCTTTCGAAATCCCATGGGCGAAATACCTCCCATAAGACCGGTACGAATCCGCAGCATGCAATGGCTCATAGCCCATGCAGCCCTACCCGTAAACCGGTGGCTTCATAAAAGGAGACAAGACTCAGACCCAAATAGTTCTGAACTATGCCTTATGTGCAGCAATAGCACACCAGACGACATTCCACACTGCCTTCTCTTCTGCCCTGGAGCAGCCTGGATCTGGAACAAAATACGGACCCTATGGCTCACCCTCTTCTCCTCACCACCCCCCACCACTACCCCTCTAACCATTCTACACTTCCCCAACAATCCCCTGGATCTCAAGGGCAGCAAGGAGGTCTGGTTCAGGCTACTCAGAACGCTGGCACTATGGGTCATTTGGAAACCCAGACAATGGAGAAGACAGAAGTCACAAGAGAGGAAATGTGGACCTTGCTGCTGAGTATGGTGGAGACGAAAATCGGAGCAACTGGCACAAGATAATCTCCAAGACTAAGGCCAGGGAGACGAACCATCAAGAGACGGGGATTGGTAGCTGTGGTAGGCAAATGTGCCCCACCCTTCTGGAAATTGTGCATGCACAAAAAAATAAAAAAAATTGGGGCCAAATTGTACTCCCAAATTCCTAATTGGATCTCGTCTCTTTTCCAAAGGGTCCCCAGCAGAGAATTAACAGGGTTCCCGTGTCTTTGGAAAGACGTTCATCGAAATGCTAGAGGGACACGAGCAGCGCAGCAATATATTCTGGATTCGGATTCAGGTATGCGTTCCAGCCGTTATGGGTTACTAACTTACTACTAACAGTACATTAGCTCTCTCGTTTTTTTCCTTTTCATTTTCTTGTGTGCAGTGGCCCTAAGGGCCTCTCTCCACTCATCACCACTTGCATAAACGACAAAACATATGGCGGCGTATGGTTCCAGTTTCTAGGAGAAGATTCATTCTAGTTTTTCACATTTGAAGAGTAGTGTTCTGAAGCCATGAAAATTACATGCCGAGTTAGTAAGTCCGTAACCCATAACTGCTGAAACACGGACCTGAATTTGAAGCTACACCATATATAGCTGGCCTGCTACTGCCTTCCTACAAGCCTATCAACTACCCTTTTCTTGTCGAGGAGACCCTTGCTGGCAGGGGCCTTTTGAAGTACCGGCAGGGGGGCTCTGTGCTTTCTCTCTCTCTCTCTCGCGCGCGCGCGCACGTGTATCCACACAGCGCGCTCACTTTTTTTTCTTTTCTTTTTTTGCGCATCAGCGTACCTCACTTATGCGCCACAAGTATGATTTTAATGGATGTCCTAGAGGAGGCCCTCAAGACAAATGATGTTCCTTCTCTGGCACCTTGGAAACGTTTCTGTCTACAGATCGAAGATTGAAGACCTTTTTGAGAGGAACTTTGGCATGCATCATTTGAGGGCTACTAGTGTTACGTGTATTATTTGTGTTTTGGTTTATTTCCGGAATTGCCTGTACTGTTGCGTGGTAGATTAGTTTTAGTGCTATTTCCGAAATTGCCCGTTTCGTGACTTGGTTTTTTCGAAGTTTAGTTTTCGACTTGGAGTGTTGTGTTTGGATTTTTTTTAATTCTGGGTTTTGTGTTTTGTAGGGTAGGAATTTCCCTTCCGCGTTTTGCTATTTGTTGTTTTAGCTTATGTGGATTTACTGTGTAGGATTTAACCGTTCGATGCGTGCCGCTTGGTGTCCTTTTTATGGCTCCTGGGTATTTAGGGCACTGGCATGCCTGTTCCTGGGTTAACGTTGTTTGATTAGCTATACCTTGCTCGAACAAAACGGATTTCGTTTCTATAGGTGGGCAATCCTATTTCACTCTGTTGCTGCTGTTTAGTTCGATGCTTGGTGCGTGTGATGGTGGGATTGAAATACGAACGCATTGGAATCAAGATAGGTGGGCGACCCTAATTTGTTCTGTCGCCGGCGTTTGTTTGCAGTGGGGTAATGGCATGGAAATGCTTTGACTTTTTGGACAGGTGTGTTCTGGCTGGTGTTCAATACAAATTTTAGTTGACTTGGTTAGATATTCCTTGCTCGAACTGGATGGCTTTCGTTTTTATAGGTGTAAAGAGTGAGGACACTGGGTATGCAGGGATGGGGCTCTGGGCTCCTGGTGGGGCAGGACAACCTGCCATCCCTGTTTTTTACTATCTCGATGATGTAATTGCCTTGGGCACTGGGCCCTGTTAATAAAAGTGCAATTTCGGGTATAAAAAAAAAAGAAACTGCATTCTGAATTTCTGGCACGTGGTCAAAGATACAATTCTCCTCCCACTGCTTGAAGGCCTACGGTTTCATGATCTCTTTCACTCCCCTGTGAGGGTTCTTTTCACCTTTCCCTTTTTTTTTTCCTCTTTTTTTTCCCTTTGAGAGCGTCCCTCGAGTACATGATTGGACACATAGTTATCCGAGCACCTGGACTAAGTATCTCAGCCACTCTGATGGGAACTCCTCACTCAGCTCGCTTGGGTAATAGCTTAGTACTAACTGAGTAACCTCTGAGTAATCGATGAGTAATCCTGCATCACCTCTTGTCCAATGATGCCCTTGGAGCAAACCCCCTCCCAACCATCCTGTCTCCCTCCCGTACTCCTTTGGGGAACCATAGGAAGCACAGGCCAGGGGGCCGTCCGGAGGGAAAGCCCCTGCCTTGGGCCTGGGGGGCACCGGGCCTTCGGCTCTTGGCTTTTTTGCCACCCCTTTCCTTGTCACACTGTGGTGCTGAGATGTAATATAGAAGCTCTAGATTCTCTGGATGCTTTGGATGCTCTGAATGCTTTGGATGCTCTGGATGTTCTGGGTGTCCCGGGTGTCCTGGATGGTCGTCGATACCCTGGCTACCCCAGATGCAGGTGTCCTTATGACCTTTGCTTAACCCTGCTGGTTGTTGAAATGTGTTTGAGCTGTGTTTGCTTGTTTAGATCTGCAGCAATACCACCAAGGATAGCGGGTGCGGGGGAAATGGGTCTGCAAATTCCTGAGT